GCTATCTCTTTGAGTTGCAACCAATCTTCTAATTGTGGATTATTTTCAGTTTTTTCAAACTCTTCAACTGTTCGACGACTCATTAAAACAATATGCTTGACACCTCGTTTTTCTACCATCCAACGAGACATAGTAAGTCCCAGACCACCCAATCCACCCGAAACAAGAATCGTTCCTCTCTCACACACTACAAACGGAAACATAGATTCTAAAAAAAAGGGATGTTAGTAATAACTATTAGCTTAACAATTTAATATACTTTCACTTGAATTTTCACTGATCTCCGTGTTCATGTCACTTTCTTTGAGTGAGAGGGGTTGTTCAGAACTCGTCATACGAACTACCACTTTTCCCATAGATACACCAAGACTGCACTGTGTAAATGCATCAATTACTTTAGACGGCTCAAAAATAGTCATAGGTTCGAATGGTTTGAATAGACCTCTTCGAAAATAGTCAAAAACATCGTCGATCATTTCACGAACGGTGTGCGGTTCATCAATGGCGTGTAATGCTAGATCAATGACATGAAAATTACAATCTTGCCGCAAATCAAAAATTGGTAGACTAGTCCTTGCATATACGTCTCGTTTGCCAAGTTCAATAAAATGACCATGGGAAGCAAGTAGTTTGAATGATTCTTGAAGAAGTGGACCTGAAAGAGAATTAACAATGACATTAACACCATTTGGAAAACGAGAATGTATCTCAGTGACAAACGACAAATCACGACTGTTGAATACATGTTTAATTCCATAGTGCTTTCGTAGAAAACATCGCTTGGCATCACTACCTGCAGTAGCAATAACTCGAGCACCAACTGCTTGGCAATACTGAATGCAAGCTTGACCAGTGGCACCCGTCGCAGCGTGAATAAGAACGGTCTGGCCATGCTTAAGTCTAATACGATGTTTTAAGGAGAGGAGTGCTGTTAAAAATGCAGTAGGCAGAGCAGCCAATTGTTCGTCTGACATCAAACATTCGTCGGGCACACGTGAAACAACTGAGGTATCGAGAATAATATGGGAATGGAAAGTACCTGACGGACAAAGGCCAATGACACGATCTCCAATCTTCAGATTCTTAGAATGGGAAAGAATGATAGTACCCATAAAATCAGTTCCAGGAGTAGTATCACGATCGACCAAAGGTTCGTCACAATCTCGTTGACCAAATACTCGTGTATGAGGGTACAGACCACGTATTTTCAAGACATCTCTGAAATTAAGACTAGTGCAGTGAATACGAACTTGGATTTGACCAGGTAATAGATTGTTGATTGGTATTGGATCTCTCATCCAAGCAAGGTCAGCTACAAAACGCGATGGTGCAACTTGAAGCCGAAATGGAACCTTGTCAGCGTCGTTTTTAGGTACGATTGTTCTTTCCAATTTTGATGATAATTCCTGCTGTTCTTTCGATTGCAACCAATCATAATGCCACTGAAAGCATTGAATACGACTGTCTGCCTCAAGAGAAAGAACGACTTCATCAAGATTATTGGCTTCCCGTGAGTGGAGCATATGCTCTATGAGAATATCGGAATAGGATGACTCTGCAAATATGTCTGCTGTTGGTTGTAAGTCAATGAGTTTAATATGATGACGTGGACATTCGACGCTTAAACTACGTGCAAGTCCAATGAGTGGTGCTATTGTAGGATTGAATTCACTCTTTCCATGCATTGGCTGAGAGTTTTGTGTAAGAATAAAAACGTATGGAAATGAATTATTCTGTCGATGATATTTTTGAACAGATTGCAGAATGTAAACAAATTTGTAACATAAATGCTCTACATGCGATTCGAATGTTGTTTCATTGTTATTCCGATCAAGTTGCAATATGCCGAGTGGCCACGCAAATACGATATGCAATTGTTTATGTTGTTTCAACATGATATCAATCGTTGAAGAAATATGATCAATAGTAACAGTGTCTAGTAGAATTTCAATGTTAGAACTTGGTAAATGGGGTACAAGTGCATGTGACAGATTGTGTGCACGGTCAGCAAATAAGAGCCAAGCTTGATCCTGCCATTCGGAAAGGCGAATGAGAATGGATCTTGCTGTTGATTTTCGCACAATCATGAGTGAATCTCCAAATGCATTCGTCTTTGCTGATACTACCATCGGTTCAAATCCACCTATTGACTCGAATGCTTGTCTCCATTGATCAATAGTCAGTGGAGCACGACTATGACCATCACGCCACCAATAAGGAAATAAACCAAATATAAGATCGAAGTAGGAATGAGCTAATGTTAATTCAATGACGAGAAGAAGACCACCTGGCACCAAAAGACGACGAAGTGAATTAAGTGAATGATTAATATCATTTGTTATTTGGAGTACACTGGCCACAAAGATGATATCATGAGATTCGTCTACAAAAAATATATATCAATCAGTTTTGGAACTTTTAAAACATGAATTATTGTGCTCAAAAATAATCTAAATATCAACTACATTTATCGAAATACTCAGGAAAATATTTGATGGAAACATGTTTTAATTCATCTCGAAATAAGTAGAGAATTTATATAAAAAGGTTGCATTTGACTAAATCTACGCATTTTTTCATCTCAAGCATTCGAAAATCGTCGAAAATCGTTGTTTTCAAGAAAAAATCTCATATTTCTATAATGTGAAAATAATTGTATTCAAATATCTAAACTACGTTTTCATATTATTCTTCTTGTGGTTTTTGCTCTTTTGTGCAAACTGCATCAGAAATCATTTGCTCGTCGTAACTTAAAATTAGTGATCCTGATCGACTATTTCAAACGTAAGAGTTTTGTATTTTTTCAAGAATACAATTGAAGAAATATGTATAGCTTGAAAATGTCGAAAATATCCTTTGATAAAATAGACTCATTATATAATCTTTAATCAATACAGAGATCGTGCTCGATTTAAAAATCTGACACATAGATTTTTATCCTAACGATTAAAATATTTTGTCACGATTCTTACACTTTGCTGTTATCACGTGATAAAATCGGACCGATATGCTAATTCTTGTTGCACATATGCTTTAAGATTTGCATTCATAATCGAGTCTACAATATGTTCATTCAGAAGTCAAGATACGAAGGACATTTGAACTCTACGTGATTTTTACATCAGACACTATATTGATATCCATCGTCAAACATTGTATTATTGACGACAAAAATGGGCGATAAATTATTTTTTTCTTTCAGATAAGCTATGTGTTTTGTCAGCAAAAATCAACAGTAGAAAATACCATTCTAAAATCGAAGAAAATTAAAAAAGCAACACTTTCTATTTACCGACGAAGTTTCACAATTTGAAAAAGAACGTACTGAAACAACTATTGAAGCAAAAGAAAAGTCACAGTAAACAATCTTTAACCTCTGGAATAAACGTAGTGTATGTGTGCGAAAAACCTGATGTGAAACATCATTTAAATTGCAGTCTTACTCTCATTCAATTCCTGTTGACACGTCAAAAACGTGAAGCGGTGAATTTATTTTGGAAAAACAACTGTAAAATTCCAGTTTTTAACTCTTGTATTCGACTAGAGTATATTTTGTCGGTTTAGCTGTGTTTCGAATAGGAATGTTATATGTATTGATTTTCTCAAAGTGCGATGCTTAATCATGTGATTGATCGTTTGACTTTTATATCATTTCTGAAAAAGATCAGGCCTGTTGATCTACTTTCATACAAGTCTTTTTTAACTTGTCCACAATTTCTAATACCCAGTCAAACAAAAAATTTGAAAAACGCGTTTAAACGTACAGTCGGGAACCGCGACTGTGATCCATTCACGCTCATTAAAAAAATGCACAGAAACGCGTTTATTGGCGTTTTTTGTGACTTTCTGGGCGTCAAAACAGCGAAAATTCCAGTTTTCGAGCGTTAAAACGCACTATTATTCTAGAACTTAAAAACAATACGTTTTAACGCTCAAAAACTGGAATTTTCGCCATTTTGACGTCCAGAAAGTTACAAAAAACGCCAATAAACGCGTTTCTGTGCATTTTTTTAATGAGCGTGAATGGGTCACAGACGCGGTTCCCGATTGTGCGTTTAAACGCGTTTTTCAAAATTTTTGTTTGACTGGGTAACGACCTTAGTGATAATGTCTTTAGGTTAAGATACAAAACTAACAATCCACCATCTTTATCAATAAGGCCAGGTTTGTTTGAGCAAAAACAAACATATATTTACCTAGCAGGCTTGAGTTATCGGATTCAACCTCTAAGTTATATACATGATAAGAGATAGAAATTCGTTGATTTCTCTTGTTAGTATTTGGCAGACAGGACTGAAAAGTTTGTTCAGCATCTAACAGAAGTGTTTCTGTCAAATCAACATAAAGCACCTTAATATATGTGTCTGTTTGTTCAGCAAAATCAACCAATTGACGAAGAATAGGCACTGAAATTGAACTTATACTGACTCCAAACAATAGAATGCGTAACGAATTCGGATGAGTGTTGTGCATATGACTAATGAGTGCTTTAAAAACACTTTGTGTTTTTAAAAACGAAATAGTATTCTGCACATCTTCTAGGGCTAATTCAGTTTCCTTGTTTTGTATCAATAATTCTTCATGAGTCTGTTCACCGAAGAGTATTTGACCGAGTTTGGATCCAACTGTGTTCATTAAAGTAACGAATGATTTGAGGCGAGGAAATCTATTGACAAGGTTTTTGTGAATTAACTGAATCGAATGATTTGTCACTGTCGTAGTGATATTGCCACATTCATCAATTAGTCTATGGTGATTAACAAATGAAAAAGTAGCTTCAAATAATCGGATAAAATGAGATTCATCGTCTCGCACAAGGTGATGCAACTTGTCTTTAACGATTAGTTGAATGTTCTCTAATGAAGCAAGATGTTGTAATGCTTGAAGAGCATACATTCCAGCTAAGGCATTCAATGGCTCAATTGAATCTGCTAGTTGATTATTGACATTATCATTGCCATTGTTCATCACTTCGATCTCTTGTCTTTCTGTCTCACTCATCAAGGTGTTTGACGATGGTAAAAGATCGATTGTCCTAGTCAGATGATTAAACAGACTTGACCATTTCTTTTGTAGACAAAATTCGGATAAAACTGTTTGTACATGATCATTATAATCTCCGTTTGGCAGATCGACAATTTCGTTTATCTTTTGGAAAATGGACTTATCCGATGTTGTCCACCGTCTAGGAATGCGTTGTATTTTGAACATTTCAAATATGACGAGTGGTTTTGTATTCGATTCTATCATTTCATCATTACTATTAAATATGGCAGCATCCAAAGTATAAGCTCGCTCTTGCGAAAGACCGGCAAGAACTGAATGATAGGATCCATGCGTCACTAATTGAGACAAATGACAAGTACTTCCATAAATAATCATCTTGTTAATGGCAACTGGAAGGAATGTTTCGTTTCCTGGTACAATAGACAAGAATGTATGGAAACAACCATCAATAATGAGTGGGTGTAGATAGTAACGTACATCGTTTTGTTCATTATTAGTTGGAGTAACTCGGCCAGTTACTTCTGAATTTGTGGTTTTGATTGAAGTTGTTATTCTAAAGTTTGGACCATATTGATATCCTCTTGTGGATAAATGGGAATAGAGATTAGGAACATTCAGATCATACCAATTTGCTGTATCTTCTTTACTGAATCGATAGGCTGACGAGGCATGAATGTTCAAATGAGGACCAATATCAATGCAACCTCGTGCATGCAGAGTAAATTGACGCAGAGAATATGCATTCAATGTTTGAAGATCAACGAAAGAATCAATAAAATCATTGCAAGCCATACCAGAAGATCGTCGACAATCTTGCCCAGCTGCCGACCATGGTCGACTGTAAATCAACCATTCACGCATTGGCATCACAATTTGTGTGATAACTTCAGTCAATTCATGTTCGGTAAGAACAAGAGCTTTGATAAATTCAACCTGCTCAAAAGCGATCGGTGGTAGCGTCTCGTCATTATTAGCTACTGGCAAGAGCTGACGACAAGCGGCTAGTGCCATCTCAAGAAATCCAGCAGCTGGAAGAAGAATGGCATCCTGCATTTTGTGCTGAGATAAATAGGCATGTTCAGGTAGATTGAGATTGATCAAACTTTTCCATATTGCCGATGTGTGTTGAGTCCACTGACGAACACCCAGTAGTGGATGGAGAGGTAGACGATATGCGAGACGCTCTATTGCAGATTCTTTTGATTCATACCAACAAGGAGTTAAGTTGAATGCATATAATGGAAAATTGTCAAATAAATGTTCCAGATCTTTACTTGGTTGAACACATCGAGATGCAAGAAAATGTTTCCAGACATCGAGCGAATATGAGAGTTGTGCAATACTTGTCAATAGTGTTTTCTGTTCGTCCTCCTTTCGTTTAAGAGTAGGCAAAATGACTGGTTGAGTGGTGGATATCTTCTCGCAGCATTCATGTATTGATGTGGCCAAAGCAGGATGAGGTGATAATTCGAGAAAAGCATCGACGACTCCATCTTGAATAATTGCTTGAATAGCATCACCAAATCGAACACATTGGCGAATGTTTGACCAACAATGACGAGCATCAAGCGGTGTTTTATCGTCTATTCGACCTCCAGTAACAGGTGAATAAAGTGGAACTAGTGCACAACGAACATCAAACATTTCTTGTTTATTCTCAAGAGGAAGACCTCGAATGTCCTCAAGTGTTGAAAGTATCTCTTCTCTAATGCCAAAGCGATCCATCTGATGAGAATGAAATGCGTTCTCGATACGTAATCGAGCTTTGAACACTGTCGGATACAATGTTGTAAGAATGCCTTCGATTTCATCGATAGTTTTTTCATCACCACTAAGTGTCACGGAACGTGGACTATTGACACCGGCAATACACACCAGGTGTTCGATTCCTTTGAGCAATGAATCTCGTACCTCTTGTTCATTCATAGCAACAGCCAACATTCGGCCACCTTGACGAGTATTTCGATGTTGAAGACGCGATCGATTATAAACAATACGAACTGCTTCATTCAATGAAACTCGTCCAGAGATAAAAGCGGCTGCTTGTTCTCCTGCACTATGAGATACGATTGCACTAGGAGAGATCTGCCACGAAACAAGAAGTGCTGCAAGTGCCACTTGAATAGCAAATAAGGCCGGTTGTGCGATGTTAGTGTCATTAACACGTGATTCTTTCTCAGTCTTTTCAATCATTTCGCTCAGTAAATTGAATTCTCCACCATTGATTTTTATGAGTTCTTCATTGATTCGTTGGATCCATTGACGAAAAATAGGTTCAGATGAGTAGAGTTCTCGACCCATGGCCCACCATTGAGGACCTTGACCACTAAAAACAAAACATATGCGAGGGTAATTTGACAAAATACGTTTAGTGACTAATAGTCCTGGTGTTGATTGTTTTTGAAGAAAAAGATCAAGCTGTTGTTGCAATTGAGCACGATTGGCTGAAACAAAAATGGCCAAGTGCTCGTGACTAATAGTGCGTTTGAGCAGTAATTGTTGAGAGATACGTGCAAGAAAAGAACGTTCATCATCTTGAGGTTCTATTTGTTTTAACCATTCGTTGAATGATACTACTTGTTTGTAAAGTGAATCACCATTCTTTGCTAAAAATCAGATACAGTTAAGGGAAAATATAATATGAACAACATACTCGAAAAGATAAAAAGACCATGTTGCTGTAACAGTCCTCCTTCAACATGACCATTTGTATTGATCGATCTCTCTTTTGGATGATACTCTTCAACGATAGCATGAGCATTACTGCCTCCAATACCGAATGAGCTAATACCGATAGCTACTGGATGTTCTTTTTCACCGTCTTTATTGATTGGAGGAAATGCAGTCATTGTCTGGACCACATGCAAGTTGAACCGATCTGCTTCAATTTTTGGATTATAAGCTTTGAAATGCATATTTGGTGGAATCGTCCTATGTTTCATACACATGACCGTTTTAATAAGAGACGCGATACCAGCTACTCCTTCTGTATGCCCGATATTGCTCTTAACGGATCCAATTAATAATGGAGGATCGAAAGGCGACCGTTGAAAGAATTCACCGATAGTATTAGCTTCTGTTGGATCACCCACTTGTGTTCCTGTTCCATGCGCTTCAACGTAGAAAATACGATTTCGATCGTAATGTGTTCTAGCATAAATTTCGCCTAGGAGACGTGCTTGTCCGGCGGTCGCTGGTACCATATAACCGCTTTTACCTTCAGAACCATCATGATTGCTCAAAACATCGTGTAGTATACAGTAAATTCTATCATCATCTCGTTCAGCATCACTTAATCGTTTGAGAAGAACCATACCTAGGCCCTCGCCTAAAAGGTAACAGATATTTTAGTCTCTGATCAAACATTCATTAAAACTCAAATCCTCAATCGAAGACACATCCATTGAACAAGCTTCTACAGAACTCTATCATATCTCACATACTTGAACTCTCCGAGTTACTTATCACTTGATGTAGATCTTTGATGTTACTAGAGCACTTCAAAAACTAATGGAACTAAAACCTTTACATTGACTATACTCAGTATGTTCACGTTTTTTAAGTTTCAAAATTAAAATGCTCCATAAAAACAATTTTTGAAAATCTGATAACCCATAAATAAAATGAAAGTAGTCGTGCCTGAAGCTGTTGTCTGCAACACAGTAAGGTTTAGTGAGATTACTTTCTAGAGCCTCAATGTTCTAGAAAAAGCATTTTGTGAATTTTGAGCTCACACTTTATCCCATACATGTATGAACTAAATGAGATTACCTAAAATTTTTCCAAACTTTGGATAACCTATCTGTGACACGAGGTTTTCAAAAATAAAATTTGAAAATATCTCTGGAAATGCACTGATATCCTGGAAACACTATTTCTTGGAAAGATATCCTTCGTGAATTTTAAAGCTTTAAATGTAAATTAATTTAGTTAGATCTCTATGCAGGTAAAGTTTGAATTTCAAACTCAAAAGCGTAATTTTCACCGGGCAACGAAGATCCGAAAATAACAATAGAGAGGTTTTAGTTGCTATTCTACAATGCTCCCTATTGTATATTATAGAGTTATCAGCTGAAGAATAAAGCTCTCAAACTGAACTTCGATAACTCAGTGCAAGTTGAACAGTCAAAACCTGTAAACAGTGACATTATAGGAAATAAAGTTTTGTTCATAAGTGAAATATATAGAAAGAAAAGAATAGACTGAGACTGATGGAGGTTCTTATAAATTCAACTTAGTTGCGATAAAAAAAGACGGTCTCCATTCAAAACAACTTTTCAATTTTTCCCATTACATGATACTACTAAATGAACAAATGTTTATGGAATAGCATTCAAATAATTCACCGTTTGATCAAGATCTTTTTTTTGTGTCTCTAAAGACAACAAGAAAAGTCAAAAATGAACTACAATGTATCTGGTTTTTAATCACACTGAGACCTTTAGTACGATGTCGTTCTCATCAAATAGAATGTACGATTACATTGTAGCGAAAAAGAAATCTTAGCTGTCATACAATGAAATTTTAGTGAATTATATAAGTGCTTGGATGTGTCAATATATACTGGAATTAGTGTGACAGCAATCTCTTCATTATTTTCCTTTTGTAATTTCTCAAGGAATATTGTGAAGATATTCTCTAGATAGAAACTACGACAGAAATGTTTAACCTATAGCTTCTCTTTTCAAGACTAATCTAAAATTCAATGGCTTCCTACTCGTGGTCTCTAGTAGAAATACTATAGAGCGATCTTACGAACAGATTCACGCAATGCACCGATGACATTGATGAGTAAAAACGGAAAAATAAAATGTCAAAAGTTGTTATGCTTTTACGCGCCACACTGAAATAATCTAGATGACAATTTTGACCAAAAACGTAATACGCTTTTGGTCGTCTCGCAGCAGCCTTATCTATACCTTTCGCGTAACCATTGGCGTCGATACTAAATGATTGACTTCGTCCATCAACAGCAACAGCACCGACAGTTGAAAAATTGAGCAGATGCTCAGGTGTGAAAATGGCATTAACACCACCACAAACGGCCATGTCTGCTTCATCTGTACGCAATGCTTGTACACCGAGATGAACGGCCTGAAGTCCTGATGAACAAGCAGTATCCAGAGATACATTAGGCCCATGTAGATCAAAATGGTATGACAATCGAGCTGATGCATTGTAAAGCAGTATGTGTGGACCGAGAAATCGTGTTCGATGTTCTGGTTTAAGCCGAAGTGATCCCAATGCATGATCATTTGAGAATTGACCAATATGTACCGAAGTACGTGATCCGCGTATTTTTTCTAAAGTATAGCCAGCATCTTCAATCAAATGAACGAATTTCATCATGAGAAGACGATGACACGGATCAATCGTAACTGCTTCTCCATCTGAGAGATTGAAATAACCTGCATCAAAGGTGTCAAGCACTGATGTTGGCAAAAAATAACCACGACGTATGAGTTTTCGTTTGAATTCACCATTATCCCGATTGAGCGTATCAGCACAATACGACAAGAGATCGGTTCGTTCAACAGGTATTTCACTGCCTAGATCACGACTTTCCTCAAGTGCCTGCCACAAATCAATGGGCATATGGATACCACCAGCGAATTCACAAGATATCCCAATTATGGCTATAGGTTCAAATAATGTAGCGCAAGCCATGATTTTCAAATGTTCTTGATTAATGCAAATAATAAATAAGCTAAGCAAGAAAGTAAGCGATAAAATACGTCTTTGGTGCGAATATCTAGAAGTAAGGTAAAAAAGTTTTGAGACTAGATCGAACATAAGGGCAAATGTGGAACTCATATAGATGTTCATTCTGTTTTCTGTCCAATAAAACGCAATGCGGGATCACTTTAGCTCTGAAATATACAATGGGTTGTTTCATTGCCAAGATTTCGAGATTTTCGCTATTCTACGTGAATGTTTTCAGCCATAGCAGAAATCACAGAACCTAATCCATGCTTAGGTGAATGTACTATTATAACTAAGCCGATTTAATATGACCTTAACGTGGATCCATATCAAAGCAGTCCTTCAAAGAACACCGTTGAATAACTAGCGAAATCTGGCTCCATCTTAAAGAGCTCTGAATTGTACATCAAGAAATGATGGCATCTTTTTACATCATGCATTTTTTGGCTTCTGATCGAGCAGAAAGAAACTATTGGGCCATGCTCATGTGTGCCCATAGATACTTCGGCTGGATAGCCCTATTTTAAACTGCATAAATTTTACTATTGAGTGGTTCACTTCCAGGTTATATAACGTCAACAGATACATTGTACTTCGCTTCACTAAATGAGTCTAAATATGTAATGCTAAGTAGGTTGCTATTACAGAAACACAAGAATTTCATATCGTATGCGTACCAATCTTTCATATAAATTTTTAAACATGATCCCACCGTCATAACTCACTTTTCCCACGTACTTCAATGCAAAAGACTGAGACTTTCTCAAAAATTCTCCTCTAAATCGCATTTATTGACTATACTAGTTTAGACTTGATAAAATAGGTTAAAGATATCGTCTAGGCAAAGACCTGACGAAAATATAGCCTAGTAAAAATAGTTCATCGATGATTTCTATAGATACTTCAATAAAAACTGTTTCAAAATGAGATTTTAACATCATATTCATGTACAGTAATGAAACTTTGGTGGGTTACGTTGTTTGTTAGATTCTTATAAGACCTTCTGAATGTGATGTAAAGACAAATGCTGTATGTCGTCATTAGATCCAAAACTCCAATTGAATACTTTCAAGTATTGTACCTCCGAAATAGTATTCTACAAATACGAATAGTCTATTGTGTAGAGATTTTCAACGATTACAAGGTGGACTAATTGAAATTTTATTTTAGCGGAGAAGAGTGTTCAGTAATAGACTTTTTGACAAGGAGATTCTCGTTCTGTTGATATTTCTGGTCTCTCGACATCATTCCAACATCAGAAATTCTGAAGAGATACTGAAGTGAAGCGAATATGCTGAAAAAATGTTCAAATGCCATTTGAGCGATTACCTCTTGCTTTATATGAAATATTGATGAAATCACCAAAACAGTCGAAAACTGAGATACGAGTATGAATACTTTAATATCAAAAATTATTTTTACATGAGAAATGAATTTAGAATTCAGACCAAAACAACAATTTAAATCCGCAAGGGTGTGGATATGTGGGTGTGGGTGGGTGTGTGGGTGTGAGTGTGAGTGTGGGTGTGTGGATGTGGGGTGTGGGTGTTAGAGAATAGAAGATCCACACCCACACCCTCTTTGACTTACAACCTATCAAATTTCAGGCTGCTCTTACTTCGAAAAATCGTTAGATCTCTAGCACGAGAATTGTCGACGGAAGTTTCTAAATCGAATTTTTGTTGTGAACTATTCCTGATTTCTTCAGTTTCATTGAAATCCATTATTAAGGAAATACCAGTGCAGCTTTCGCAAAAAAAATCTAGCTTTTACACAGATTCTTTGCGAGGTGAATCTGCAGTGTGCTTGCAATATGAGCGACTAGTCGTTCATCGGCGTCCCTCCGGAGCGCCACTCACGGCTAGTCACTCCTTTTTAAATCAGTGCATTTCAGCAATAGTTGTCTATTGTCAATTTAACATGAAAGATATGACCTCATTTACATATAACTTTTTGCATTACTTTCTTCGAGTTATAGCGAGCTAGGAATTCCACGAACCAGAACTCCTGAAAATACAGACAAGGTTAAAAATATAATTTTTTGATAATAATAATACATTACAATTTATTGCTACATTCCAGTTTAAGATCCTCGTCTACCCATGCATACATTTTTCAGATAATAGGTTTAACCATATGAAAGAATGAGATGGAAACGCTATCAAAATCGGTCTTATTGGAAAATTATAAGAAAACCTAACCTAGCTAATTTGTATCCCTTTTCTCTATCATTTCAAAAGACACCGGCACTATTGATTGTGCATAGATAGCTTTTGAAATGCCTTTAAAAGCTGCAAAGATATGGAGATTTGGAATGCTCGAGCAACATCTCTTAATAAAATCCCAATGGTATTTCTATACCAAACATATAGGATTTCAAGGTGTGAATCACTTCGATCTCTTGGAGATTTGAAAGGTATTGACGAAGCATTCCAAATCTTCGTGTCTTTGCAATTTTTGATAGCATAATAAGAACTATCTATGTACAACCAATAGTGCCCGTGTCTTTTGAAATGATAGAGATCGAAACAATTTATCCTATCCAATCCTATATACAGGGTGTCCCAAAAGTAACGAGACAAAGTTTTTTTTCGATTTTTTTTCTTATAGAACGTCAGCTAGTTCTCATATTTTTACCACAGATACTAGATGACATAAGTGGAAGATCTAGCCCATGAACAATATTTGAATATAGTAATTTATTCAAAAGTCATGATTGAAAAAATATGAAAAACGCAGTTAGAACTGCGAAAAAAGAAACAGATAGTAAACAGAGCACAAAATGTGGATCATCTGATAGAAGAGATGACCACTCGTATTGTTTGCTGCAGACGTCACCACTAGTACATATATAAATACCACCAAAGACAAGGTAGTATACGCTACGACAGTGGAAAGTATAACTGTCAACTATATTTCTATTTCTTCGGTAATACTATATTTGTATGCGTTTGAATAAATTACTACATTCAAATATTGTTCATGTGCTAGATCTTCCACTTATGTCATCTAGTATCTGTGGTAAAAATATGAGAACTAGCTGACGTTCTATAAGAAGAAAAAATCGAAAAAAACTTTGTCTCGTTACTTTTGGGGCACCCTGTATTTAATAGAGTAACACTGTTGTCGTTTTATTAAAAGGTACTGCCTAAGCATTTCAAATCCTCATGTCTTTGCAATTTTTTAGAGAATACTGAGAGCTATCTATCCAAAAAAATGGCTCCCATATATGTTCGAATAAGAGAGAAAACAGGTACAAATTAGCGGGATTGTCTTATAATTTTCAAATAGGATCAAACTCGGTATATTATTTACTGTTGTCCTTTGCATTCAATTCATGAATATCCAAAAACGCTCCGTGGTAACGACAAAAAGGTCACTCAATTCATAACCATTTTCATAAAATTGGAAAAAGTTATACTATTCACTATCATTTTCTTTTTTTTCATATGTTTAAACACAATCTAAAACCAACATATACTGTATTAGCTGACAATGTAGTTAAGAAGTTACAGTTTCTAAACCAACCAGTACACATATCAACAGAAAAGGTCATTTTATTTCATTCAATTTTGCTTCCGATAGAGTTAATATACATTGGGTAATCAAAAAGTTCTCGGAGTACACTGTATTTTATTCAGGAAACAACATTTCATCCATTTCGTTACACCACATATTAGAGGTGGTGGTGTAATATTCCATGAGAAGTTTCATCCTTTTAACTCACTCTTAAGGTATCGATTTGAAGTAAATGATTTGACCTGCTCAGTTACTGTTGGAATCCACCAGCTGTTTCGAACTTAAAAAAATCAAAATGATTCCTAGATCGGAATCGAATTTTATATGATACCATTAATAGCTAACAGATTCAGATTTGCCATCGCAACATTCGATCAAAATTATGATCGAAACTTGGGTTCGGAGATGAAACTCGTCCTTCAAGTGGCATTAATCCTTAACACTACCAGAAACAATTAGATATCTCAACTCTTAATCACATATGAGCCATTTCTTATCGTGTAATCGTTTCTATAGTAACTAGTCATACAGCCTATATTAGTGATAAACTGTTAAATGTATAATTAGTTGATTCAGCCAACAACGAAGAATGGTCATGGTCTATGATTCCACCAATTTCCTTCGTGATTTTTCGAGCAACGTGTATGGTAACGTCATTATCTACTTTTAAGTGACCAGAATCAAGTTAACTTTCGTCAAGGGTGCTCATCATGGACTGAACTTTCAGACTCTTGTTGTTGACGACGGATTCAAGATAGCCTAGATCATCAGCACCTGTTACAATTGAACAGGGGTAATAACCGAGGAGACCAATTTAATACCTATTGTTTACTTCGAAACAATACCTTAAGAGTTAAAAGGATGAAACTTTGTATGGTATATCGCGATCACTATCTACAAGTAGCGCTCATCCTATGGATTCGCTGACCCTTTTCTGAAAGAGAATTTAGTATGATTATTATTGAATATAATTTCAATTTTAATTATACTATATCTTACAGTCTTCTTGATTGCATGAAACTAATCGAACACAGTTGGTTTTTAACTTCCCAGGTCGATCAAAACGAACATTCGTTACGAGCCGTTTTCGGACAGTAAACGATGTAAAAACGGTTAGTTTACGGTCGTAAATGGCCCGTATTACCCCGTATACTTGACGCAGTAATGCGGTACCGTATACCGCGAAAATACGGCCGTATACGGTTAAAAAATCACTATAGTACGGTCCGTATTACTGGGTCAAGTGTGACGGCCGTAATACGATCTGTAAAGTAACCGTAAAGTAACCGTATTGTTCGACCTGGGTTGATGAATAAATGATCAATCACAACCATATAACTTATTTTTTTGAAAAAATTAATCAAATTGAAAGAGTTTAAGCTAGTTGTGATACAGAATATTCTCGAATTCTGTCATTTTGAAAATAATCTGGGTAAAGGAACCTT